AGGAGCAGGTGCCTTCATTTTGGCATGTCTTGTGCTTTTTGGGGGTGTGTAGTGCTCTGTGCTTCCGAGTATAAAAGAGTACTGTAGGAATCTTGGGTTTGGTCTTAGAGTGATGTCTGAGAATGCTGAAGCACCGATCTATTCTTGAGCCCCAAACTCTCAGGCGCCGAGAGCAGCGGAACGCCGTAGGGAACTCAGCATCCTTGAAGTAAGCCAGCAGCCACGCGACACCTGTCAAAGTTGAAAAGCCTTCAGTTGCATGCCATGTCTTGGAAGCGAAAGTTGAAGAGCTTGGGTCTTACGGTTTCTGGAGAAGAGACCAGTGAACCCCACCTTCTCCAAAAGTTCAAGATGTTACACCCTGTCGTCACTACTCCGAACTGCTGAGAGCAGCTTCGGCTTCAGCGCCCCCTTGCGCGCCTGCCAGCGATAGCTGCGCACTGCAGTGCCTTCGACAGCACTCAGGCTAAGGGCTAAGGCATGAGCCGGCAATTGAACTCTAGTTATGTACACATCCACACACACACAAACATCTGCAGGCGCTGGGCATAAACATCCAAATCCACTATTTGTGTTCTACCATAGCAGAATAGATACTGATTATTACAGTTAACAATATAAAATAAGCCTTCAAGTAATAGTATTTGTCTATTAAAACATCAGCCAGATACGTTCTGCATAGTGTTGATGTAGTGTTCATATAAGCATAGCAATGCTAGTCTTTTTTACATCACATTAGATTATATTGTAACATATTTGACAGTATTATCACTACTGGCATTTACTATTGATGTTAAAATTTGTATAATTTCAACATACATATCATTTTGAGTTAATTAATATCAGCATAAGTTAGACTAATACAGTTTCTATGTGATAGATCTCATCGAATCTAACCTATGTCATGTCAATACGGTATGTTGCTTCCACCTGTACATTGCTTCGAAGCCCACTTGTACGCAAGGACTTGGGCCCCGCCCCCACCCCGAAGCCCCCGAGCTGCCATCTTTATTGAGATGGTACACAGACACGGCCCGTCAAAATTAATGTTGACCAACAGCTGCTAGATATCCAGTAGTTATGTATACCGGGACTAGTTGCATGCTAGATTACACCACAGAAACTCTGTAAAAGTACGATGTATAAGCATTAAGTGCTAAGCAGACATTCATTCCGTGTCGGGTTACAACTGATATCATTGTTCACAAACACTACTGAAACACCACATGAGTATGAAGGCAAGTACAGAGCAACATGACAGGTACCGATGCGGCAGCAGTTAAAGAGTTACTTGTTGTTGAGACATGAAGAAGGAGCTATCATCTATGCAGTCGATACCTACATGGGATGACAATGTTGCCTGTGGTTGCCCTGGGTTCGTTGTTCCTGACAACGTCTTTCATTGACGGTCTAGCCTGTCCATAAGCAGATGTATTGATGTTCAACATGACACTACGCCTCTTGACGACGAAGAGAAGCTGCCGTGGAATTGGACATCTGGTTTCGGTACCGCACATGTACGTGCACAACATACCAGCACCAGTGGTTACCCCAAATTCATCAGTTGCTGGTGTTTGCGGTTCATGCCATCGACAAGCATTCAACATGTCCAGCTGATCGGCTGACGCACAGCTTCGACTTTGCCGGCACTATGAACATGTCTACGCCTTTTACAGCAAAAAGGGCGCCAAACGGGCTTCCCTTCCCTATATATGCATGCATGAATGCATATATATATATATATTTATATATATATATATACGCACGTGTGTACACGTTTTAAAACGTCTGTTGATATGTGATGATCTTAAGTCTCAGTATGGTACAGTAAGAGGAAGTTAGGCAGAAACAACAAAAACCGGCCAGTGCGCACCGTTTGTGTCCGTATGTGCACAATCCACTGTTGTATGTGTGCGTCTGTCCACGCATATAAACATGTATGCATATGCATGGGTGCATTTAGAATGTTAAACGCTATGTTTCCCCAGATGTGTGCTATATATGCATAATATGCCGAATATGCATATTTGCATGCATGCATGCATTCATTCTTTCTTTCTTGCATGCATACATAAACATACTCACACGAAATATATACACACACCCACACACCTGCGTAATCAGACCTGCAAGCCGCTGTGGACACAACAGCGATTCAGGTCGGAATAAGGGTTTGTTTCTCAAGATCCTTCCGCTTTGGAACATGCTCAATGTTGAACTTGCAGGACCCGGGATTCTGAACCATTTACCTAGCCAGTCAGGGAGACTGCAGCTGGCAAACCCAACGTTGTGTGTGGATAGTGCGCGTCCGATCACTCCATCAAGTTTGTTTACGCAAGGCGCAATGCGAAATTGTAAACAGCGGTTCCTGAGGAAGTAAGCACAGTGACCGTGCTCTCCAGACTGGTGCTTCTTAGTTACTCCAGATTAATACCAAGCCTGGGCTCGTGAGTTCTGGAGGGCTCGTTTGGCTAAGCCGTCTCACTTCAAAAGGGCCTCCCGGAACTGAATAAAGCGATGTTCAGCAGGGCAGTCGTATCCATATTCGTGAATGTGTCCGAGGTAGTTTACAAGTCCTTGCCGTGCCCAAAAGCTCAAAAGCCTCACCTCGACTGCCGAGGTAGCTCTTTGCCTGACGGATGCGCAGTCTGGGCTCGTAGCGTGTGCGCTTTGTGCGGCCCAGGGCCCAGGGAATCTTGGTCCAGTCCAGGCACCAAAGTCATGAGCCCTGCATCGACAGCTTTATGAAACCCGAATCCCAAAGCACCTGCGCGGAGGCCCTAATTAAACCTTTAAGCTATGAGGCTTTGACCACAAGAGGAATCCCTGAGCTCGTCGCCTCAAGCCATCCTCGCCTGGGTCAGCACGAGCAGAAAACCTTTTTGTCTTTGTGCTCGCACCAGTTCGGGGTTAACTTGCTGGCGTTACACATAGTGGTACGTTGAGCGCTTTGGGTTTACTGTAGCGGTTGGTCTATCTGATTGATGCTCGGGTATCGATTCGCCGTATGTTTGGCCGATGGTTGGAGATTAAGCCTGACGGGAGACCAACCGTCCATTTAACATTCGGACGTTGCGGGGGCGTTGTAACATTTCCCGTTGTCTTCTGTGCTGTGTTGTCCCACAGCTGAAGCAGTCTTCCCCCAAGTTCGAAACCCCAAATCGCTCCTCGGCTTTATGCAAGGTGCGATTCGGTTCTGTTGGACGACATCCTTCGCCTCCCCTTCTTGACTAATTACTGTTTCGCATGCTTAGGGTCTTGGCGACTCAACAATCTACGGCCTTGGGCTTGGGCAACTTGCCTGGTTCATGAGACTGCCGCTGATGCTGTCGCTAGTTAACTCTGCTAGCAGAGCTAGATACTCTGCGCTTATACATAGGAGCATTGCCCTACAAGCTTACAGGCCCCGCAGGAGGTTTCTTGCCCTATACTTCAAGCTGAGGATGTTTTCTGTTGGAAGTGGACATAAGTTCTGGAAGGAAGCCCTCCTTCTGCCCCGGGTTTGGCTCAAGATCGTGAAATGCCTTGAGGCAATGTACAAAAAGAGAACGTGCGTTTCTTGAAGGATGCCCGGTATTGTTTCAGATGAAATTTCTCGTAGTGGCACCTGAAGAGCAGTAAAGGGTCTCGGGCTGCAACACTGAATCGATACATATCTGCGATGCCTCAAATGTTTCGCAACATCTGCGCCCTCACGGCTCTTCTTGCGGCTGTGGGAGGCAGGCACTCAATTCAGGGGCGCTTATTGCTTGACCTTCGCAGTGGTTGATTCTTAAGTTTACTGGAGTGCACGGATCTTGATGCTTCCCCGGAGCTGCAAGGGCGGTCGGCCTGTTGGTTTTGTTGGTCTTGGTGCGGGATTCGTAAGTGGGAGTAGGGAGGTGCGGAGCATTCTGTCACGTGGGATCTGTGTGAAACAGGGATGCGCCTGCGATGTAGCGTAGCGACGTTTCCTAGCACGGCAGTTTGTGGGCATTTGCAGAGGGCTAGGTTTCATTCTCACGACTACTGTACATGTTTTGGCACTTTGCAGCTGGCGAGCTTGGGGTGTTTTGGCCGGCGCTCCGATGCTGAAAGCTTTAGAGATGGGCCCCCGGTTCCAAGCGTTGGTCGGATGTGTGGCCTCACAGCTTTGTTGCCTGCTGTTTGGGGTTCAGGGCCAGGTAGTGTCGGCCCACGGTCGTCAGCCGAAAGACCACCCACTCACCCATGGAGAATGCCACCACTCCCTGAGTCTCAGAAAGTTCTTCTTCGATTGGTTAAAGGGGAAAACCCATCGCTGTAAAGCCGTTGTGCGCCGACTTCGCCTTGCTCCTGCCAGTCTTCATGTTGACATTTGTTGACAGTTGCTGCTTTTGGGGGCCGTGTGGGAGCAGCTTTACCAACAGCATCGGGTACACCGCGTGTGTGCTCTCGCAACGGAGACTGTGACAAGAATCAGCCCCAGAGACCCAACTTGGGTCGAAGATTTCGTGGTGGTCTTGAAATGCCAGAAGTTTGAGCCGAGCCTACTTGCAAGCCTGAATCTTGAGCCTTGTACCCTAACATCAACACCAGGTGCTGCCGGCGAGCATGAGGTGGACACTCCGTGCGCCCTGCAACTGAGCATGAAGGCTTCTCGGAGAACTTCAACGAAAGATGTTTTGCACATGCTACTATATAGTAGCCATAGACCACTTAGCCGGTAGAGCTGACTTGCAGATTCCTTTTGAAAGCCTCTGCACGGTGGCTGGCAGCTCCCCACATTTCACAAGCTTCCATATCACACTCTCCTGTGGGACAGCATGTCAGCATAGAATACTTTGGATACACGGACTGTGATATATTCTTCCACAACACAGACACCGAAAGCGTTGAACACACAACACGGTGGTGTCTTTACCACGCAACTCTCCAATGCAGCCTCTCCCCAACAAGCCTTGAAACTTGAAGCATCTGGAAGCATCGGGAAGCATAGAGCCTTCGGCGAAGCCAAGGCTCCGCTTCGACTTGCCGTCTTCATGACAACTCACTGGAGCCACTGGGCATTTGCAAAAGTCCCCCGCCCCCCCCCCCCTTCACACAAAGGATGAGTCCTTAGTACCAGAGCCGAAGACTGGGATGCGTCAGTACGAGATCGCCGAAAGCGGGCCTTGAAGTTTCCACGTCTTCTAGCTTGTGTTCTGATCACAATAGTTCACCTGAAGTTGTGGCCCTCGGAACGAGCTCGAGATATGTTTCTAAGGATTCGAATTTGCAGTGTCAGGGGTGTGTCTAGCACCTAGGCTTTCCAGATTCATGGTCGACGATTTAGACTTCAAGTAAGGTTTTTTGGTGGCAGCTGCAGGGTTCAGAGTGTCGGGTAACAAGTTTAGATATTTGAGTTGGGTGGCTTCACTCGTGCAGATGCGCAGAGGTGAACTCCACAAGCAGTATCTGCCTTGCTGGGAGCGAGCAGTGCAACACCTGTCTCTGCTGCGAGATGCCGACCTGATTCTGTATACATCGGGGAACGTCAGTAGTTCGGAGCTCGCGCGATTTCATTTCCGCAACATGACGGTCAGGAAGTACATCAACACAGGCTGGCAAGCAGGCGCCATTCAAGCTGTGAAAGATGGCTTTGGCACAAGAGGCTATCAGGAAAAGTGGTTTGACGGCTATGATTGGGTTATCAGGCTAAATCCGGATGTTCTGATTATGGATGAGAAGTGGCTCTTGGAGACGATGGGGGATGCCTCAGTCGACGGTATCTTTGGAGAGTGCATGGGCAGGCAACTCCACACGGACTTTTTCGCAGTGCGCCCACAAGCGATGGACCGCAGGATTGTGGACGGATGCACACCGACATCCGCCGAAAAGCATTTTGAATGTGCTGTCAAGAACATTCTGAAATCCAAGAGGTATGCCTGGGCGACATGGTTCTTGACCAGCAGCCTTTCTTGCCATTATTTCGCAACAAAGCAGACTCCTGCGAAGTTGACTGTTTGTTAGTGACCGCATGCACGAATGAGCAGTGCAGAAGAGGGCACTAACCATCGAATGTTAAATCTTTTGTCAAACTAGTAGTAATCCAGATTCGACGATGCCAGTACGAACACTGTCCTCTGCATTTAGATCAAGAACTACAAGAACGCCGCCTGCCACATCGTCGGAGCCAACTCACCTGTCGTCCATTCCCACGCACTTTGGAAATGTTGCCCTGACTACTTCGCGGCCCACGAGTCTTCTCTTTGCCTGGAGGCAAGGTTGTTGTCCGGCTCTGGGACAAGCTGAAGAACTGGACTGTGCATAACGTCATACCGATCGTTCTGTCCCCTGAAATGAAGCCTTGAGCCCAAAGTCCAGGCCCAGGCTGCTGCCAGGGTCGAGGCGGTCTGGGGAGCTCTCGGAAACCCCGTCCAAAAGATTCAAACCTGGGCCTCCACCCCGATGCTCAAACATAGAAACCTTAGGCTCGGCACGCTAAAAGCTTAAGGCTTAGGGGCCCAAGGGCGTGAGAGAGTGTTTGAGCAGCACACGACAAGCAGTCGCTGCAGGCATGGAACATTTATCCAATCAGCCCTAACCGTGGCCCTTGAAGGCTTTGGAGCAGGGCAATCCGCATTGATACTCGACATTGGGCCGCTGAGAAGAATAGCACGGGTACGCTGCTGACTTTGGATGGTAGCGCGAGTTTCAACTTGCTCCATCGTACAACGATGCATGGTGACTGCAAAGCAGTAGCCAGGTTTCGGTAGCACTTCGGCTTACATGTGTAGACTCCATATGTGTATGCATGTGTGTTCATGTTTTCATATATGTATATGTATATACGTACCTACATTGAATCATTATCTGTGATTTCCTTGTCGAGACTGCGTCATGCCCATCTCGTGTCAGAGCAGATCTGTACGAGGACTTGGACCTGATACCCAAAGCAAGGCCAATCTCCCAAGCTAGCTTGCAGCGCTTTTCAACGCCTTCATATCGCCGGGAAAAGCCTGAGCGCAAAATTGCAAGGATTGATCGGAGTCGAGCATCAGAAAAGACTGACAGTGATCCCAGAGCCAAATACTCTGGGAGCTTCGTGCAATGCTAGCTGCCTGGAACTACTCGTCTATGGGTTTTGCCACTTGAGCACAGGACTTCAGAGCTCAAGCAGTCTACCAGTGCACAGGCTGAATAACCAGGTGATGGCCTTCTATGGCCTAGGCCATATTCGACATCGCTCATTCGAGAGCTGCTCTGAGCATCAGCAAATCAAAGAACATGACGACCCAACCATGGTTCAATCATTTAGGCCGCACGTCCCTAGCGCATGTGGTCGGTCCCGAAAAGCTTCGAAGGTTCGACGTCGGGTTCGACGTCGGGTCAGGTTTGCTGAGTTGGTGTATCTCGCTGTCCACTAGATTGCGGACCATGTGGGAATGTTTGCCTCTCCGCTGTGTCTTGCCTGTATGGTTTGTTTTCCGCTTGCGGTTCGTTTTCTGCTTGCCTGAACATGTGCAGAAACACGCGGGGATCCCTCTTCGAAGCAGGCAATGTCCCAACCCAAAACTTGAATGTATCATGTGTGTGTGTGTACATGTGTACGATTGCATGTATGTATGTATGTATGTATGCATGTATGTATGTAAGTATGTATGCCTGTATGTGCAAGTATGGATGCCTGCTGCCCCCCTTCCACCTCCCCCCCGCCNNCCCCCCCCCCCCCCCGGTATCCCCCCTGTTGCCTATCAAGTGGGTGGTCTTCTTGTGTGGCCTTGTCGCCTCCCCGCCCCTTCCCTCCCACCCTCCGTTGGGTGGTCTTGTTTGGCCTTGTCCGGGGCAGCCTAGGGTTTTCTTGAATGGCTCCGCCAAACCTGTGGCATGGTGCCTGCGGTCTTGCTTAGATTGTTGATCTCTCGACTTCTCGGTCTCCCCCCATCCTGCATTGCTGCTGAGCAGCTTGCAGCTATATACGGTAGGGGAGTTCTCCAGTGGTATGGCTGCAGCCGTTTGTTAGTAGTAATGTCATCGTTACAGTGAATTCTAGAGGATTGATGATGTCGTCCTGTTCTCCTTGATGGGGTGATTGGATGGATGGATGGATGGA